TGAGAGAGAAACATCGATCAGCTGCCTCCTGCACATCTCCCACTGGGGATGTGCTGGGACCTATCAGTCCGCAGGCCGACGCTCTATCCACTGAGCCAAACCGGTTTCGGCAAACCCGTCACTTTTTGATGTACAGAAGGACACTCCAACCAACTGAGCAACACCGGCCAAGGCAAAGGTATTCACCTATTAGAAAGTGGAGTTAGAACCCCCTTCTGACTGAAATTCCAGGCTCACTCCAATCACACTTGAACCAAATATCATTTTTCTGGAAAGTGTTGACTTTCAGGTTCTCACTGACTTAATAAATCCTAGAAAGGCATTGGTCCTCAGATGTCTCCTGACTTTCAAAGTTGAGTCAATACCTAGACTCTAAAAACAGATTGGAAGGTCATTGATGCCACTGAATTGTACACTTAAAAAAAAATGGTTAAAATGACAAATTTTATGTTATATATAATTTACTGTAATTTAAAAAATTGATAGTGTAATATACCAAAAACTATTGTACACTTTAAACTGGTGAGTTGAATAGTATGTGAATAAAGCTGTTTTGGGGGGAAAAAACAAAAATGGGTTGGACTTGTTAAACTAAAGTTCTGGACCTGAATTGTAAATATACCTCAGGCTGGAAAACTGGAAAACAGGAAAAATCAGGTTGTAATCCATCCCGTATATATTCACTGGAACTAAGCAACTGTTCTGAAAATGTTGGAAGGAGGAGGAATAATGGGTGTATTTTACCAACAGATTGCTTGAGTCTGTGCTTGGGAAATATGTTCATGAACTCCCTGTTCTCAAGGAGTAGTTGTTCACTTGGGCAGTTTTTTTTTATTCGTTTGCTTGCATGTTATTATGGGAAAAGTAAAATACTGTATATAGGAAAACAGACATAATAGTATAACCACCCAATTTTAACAGTTATCAACCTGTGGCCAGGTTTGCTTCATCTACATCCCTACTCATTTCCCCCATCCTGTATTAATTTGAAGCAGGATGGCTGGCATCTTATCATTTCATTGGTAAATATTTCAGTATGACTAAAAGATAAGAACACATTAAAACACACACACACACTTACCACAGTTTAAGATTTAACAATTCCTATGTCTATGGACAGATGAATGGATTAACAAAATGTGGTATTACATACAATGGAATGTTATTCAGCCTTTTTAAAGGAGCCTTTTTTGCCTGGCCAGTGTGGCTCAGTGGTTGAGCATCAACCCATGCCCCAAGAAGGTGCCTGTTCAATTCAGGCCAGGACACATACCAGGGTTATTGGCTTGATCCCAAGTAGCGGGTGTGCAGGAGGCAGCTGATAGATATTGATGTTTCTCATGGATGTTTCTATCACTCACTCTCTCTGAAATCAATCAAAACATATTTAAAAAATAATAAAGGTAGCCTTTCTTAAGGCAGAATTTTTTTTAAATTCTGACATATTCTACAAAATGAATGAACCCGAGGACATTTGCTAAGTGAAATAAGCCAGTCACAGAAAGACAAATATGGTGTGATTCTATTATATGAGGTTCCTGAAGTAATCAAACTCATTCAGAAAGTAGTTTGGTTGCCAAGGGCTGGGGGGAGGGGAGAATGGAGAGTTGTTTAATGGATACACAATTTGATTGCAATAGGAAGAGTTCTGGCGATTGGTTGCATAACAACGTGAATGTACTTAACACTTCTGTACTGTACACTTAAAAGTTAAGATGATAAAGTTTGTGTATTCTACCACAAAGACAATTTTTTAAAATTTAACAGCTCCATAATTTCATGATCTATATCCAATGACCAAATTTCCAATTCTTACGAAGTCAAACTTTTCCACCCCACTGGGGTTATTTCAATTAGGATCCAAATAAAATCCACAAATTGCCATGTATTATGTCTCCTAAATCGCTTTTAATCTGTAAATTCCCCTTCTCCCCTGCCTTGCAATTTATTTGAATAAACAATGTCGTTTGTCCTGTGGTTTCTCACAGCCTAGATTCTATGTTGCCTGCATCCCATGGTATCCTTTAACACTTTCTTCCAAACTCTGTATTCCCTGTAAATTGGTAGTTGGACCTAGAGGCCCTGGGCTAGTTTTTTTTTTTTTTTTGATTCAGTCTCAGGAGGAGGCTAAAGATATCCATCTCCACGGGCTGGCTCAGCTGAACTTGAAAAGGCGAAGCTCAGCCAGCAACCAAGGTGCTTAGAGTGACAAAGACGCCGTTTACACGCCTGGGTCAATCACTACAAAGCTGGCGATGCAGAGAAAGGGGCGCGGCCAGGCTTCGTGGGAAAAGCCCTTTGTCCGCTTTCCACGCGCGCATACTCGTTAACAAAATAAACAACCGGAGGGGCAGGGCCTTTGGTCGGAAGTGACGCACGCACGGCCGGCGTCTGAGTTGTCATAGAGGCGGAGAGGAAGCTAGACGGGCTTCTGCGGGGGTCCCACTTCCGGCCATCTCCCTGGGCGACGCGCATTGTGCCG